GTTGAGGAAGGCACACATGATATAAACACATATATCACTCTAGTAATATAGTAAAATCTAGCACATAAGCAGAGATATATAGAAAGTCCCGAATTAAGTTATAAAGTTATAAAAATAAAGTCAGAATGAGATTGGAAATTTAAGCGAATGTTGTATTCTCAAGCCTACTTTTCATTACAGCAACTAGATTTATTTTATTATTGAAGTATAAAGCCATATGTATTTGAAGAGCTATTTTTTGGCATTTACTGTAATTAAGATTCCAGTTTAAGGCGAATGGCGATAACATATTTGACTTAATATCTCATTTTTATTCATGGATCTTTTTTCTTTTAGCAAGAATTAGTCTGAGGAATACAATAAAATGAATAAAAACTTGCTAAAGTAAATCAATCGTATTATTTTAATAAATATCTTTGCGTTGAGGACTCAAATTATTTATCATAGAATAAAAACTCTTCGGACCTGCCATTCGTAGAGTTCTGATAACTTAAGTGTAGTTTTAATGAAAAGAAACAAAAAACTAAATTTCTATTCAAGCTGTTCTGATTTATTATTCGAAAATAATTTTTGTAATGAAATGGATTGGCAAAAAATGATGAATTAAAATTGGTTACTCTAGAAAAATTTTATTATTTCGAAATTGATCTTTGTTACCGCACTTTTAAAGTTTGTAATTAAATTTCTGATTTGGTGAAAAAAAAAAAACACAACTCTAAAACAGTACAATACATTGACATTTATTAAATTGCACAAACCAAAACAACTTCAGTGCTCGACCAATTCGGAAGAAACAATGCTGGGCCACCAATTATTTATGTGCAGACGTTCTGACCGTTTTCGGCATGACCGCCTTTCATTAGGCTAATGATTTGGGCAGAGTGTGCCGTGCGTCTTTCTAATTTACTGCCTACCTCAACAAAATATGTATATTGATTACATATTATTAATAGCATATTCGCGATGGCCTCGCATTTAGCCTCTGCGCCTAATTTGAGGACAACGTCCGTTCATTCACCCATCAATTAAAATTAAATGGAACGAAGCAGGGAGGAACATCCTTGTTTTAAGGCTATGTGTGCCAGTTTGTGCGCGTAATCATGTTTCGATTTATACGACACACATACACACAGAGAGAGTACACATGCATAAAACCATATACTATACACAGCTATTTAAGTACATCTATGGTGTATAGATAGCCAGTTCCCTGAAGTAATTAAATAAGCGAATTAAAAGTTTATTACGCCATCATACATATGGTGTCGTAATATGAGGCATATTAATCCGATAGTCTCCCCCTATTTGGGAGGAAGGCCATGTGGCGGCATTTTGTATCCTCTGTATAATACACAACAAAAATTTTACAAGTATGTGGCATCCCCTAAGCGCTTGTCATGCATGCAAATCGAGCCTTGTCTGGCAATTAGCAAGCTGTTGCAAGTGCCAACAGCAGCGGGCAAATTGTTAAAGTTCATTTGCAACTGCCACACGGTGTGGTGCGGGAGTGAAAGTTTGCCTTCCGGTTTCCCCGTGAAATGCATGAAGCAGCGTCTAAAAATAGTCGAGTCGACTGCGAAAGTTTCGGCGCATTTCGTAATTAAATAATGCCATAAAAGCCAAGTCATCATAATCGTACTCCCGCACGAGTAAGCTCTGCCCAAACTTTATCATTTGCATTCTCAGTTCTGCGCAATATATTATGTGTGACACTTGGAATAAAGTCGAGGACGTCTGAATAATGTTGTGGGCTGGACTTGTGCGCCGGCTTCCGGTCAAATGTTGACTGTCACTTTAAGGCGGCTAACCGCATTCCTTGTTTGTCCTCGGGGCTTTCGAATATTCTCTTAAATTTAATCAGCCTGAGTGTTGGCCGTGCACAAAAGCTTGTGAAACATGCAATCCCGACAAGCAGCCAAGTGATCAAAAGGCCAAATTGAGTGTAAAATTTAAGGGTCAAAAGGCAATCAGTTTAAAAGCGTTTAACGAGCCCCTTACTTGACTATCCGATTTGTTTGTACCGGCCATACATATTTTGCATAAATTTAAACGCACTCGTTTTTAATTGGCGAGGTCAGACGCAAAGCGTTCTGGCCCTTTAAAAAAATTACCATAATAGTATTTGGTAACAAAGAAATTTTTAAATTGGTCATGAGCAGCAACCCTTTTAAACTTACCCTTTTAACTTTTGAGCGGTGTTTTTAAGCAGCGTCTTGTTTTTCCAAAGCCTTACACTTAAAGCTTCAATAAAATGCTTAAGAATTAAAAACAAACAATACAATTACATTTTCACATTTCTTTCCAGGCTTTCCAATAAGTTCATAGAAAAAAAGTTTGGTGACTTCAGCCTAAACACTCTAGCTATGAAAATAAACAAACGCCTTGTTTTATGCGACTGTGTCATGTGACTAATTTGTTTAATTAGTGTCGTAATGAAAGGCCATAAAATATAAATGAAAATGTTGACAGCTCCAAATATTTTAATTGCTTGTAATAAAAATTTCATGGGCATAAAAAAATATAAATAAAATGGTGTGAAATTAATGTGAATTTAGATCGATGATAAATTTATAATGAAGCCATTTAAATTATATATGAATGAATGCCAATGAGATGTTGTGGGATTCCGCCTTCTCATTGTTCTTTGTGAATTGAACATATTTAGATTTTAAGAGTAATAAACAAAGCCATTTGCTTTAAAGACAGAAACATCTGTGTTCCTTATCTTTCCGATTTCAATTTCTTGTCTGCCGATTATTTAAAAAAAATTATAAAATGATAAAAACACTTCACACTTGATGTCACTTTTCTTTACTTAACTGACTTACAGTTTTTTCAACAATCAGATAATTATCAAATTCTGATTATACTTGTAATGTTATGTGCGTTTTTCAAATTCTAAATTAGTTTAAAGACTTAAAACATAAAAACCAAACCAAAATACTTGAACTAAAATATAAATTGTGATGGAAGTAAAGTAAAGTGCATGTGGTTTTATGATATATGTACGTGTGTGAATCATAAAGATAATAATTAAAGACAAGGAAAAAAATGACAGAAGCAACAAAGGATGATAATTTGGTCTTTCTCTGTTCAGTTCATCGTACTCTGCTTTTAAATGACTTCTTTGTATGAAGTATTTCCACTTTCAGGTCAAAGTACGAATAAGCTACTCTAATAGAGTACTAATTTATATTCTTGCCAGCAAGCTACTTATTACAAGACTTCACGTTGATTTGCAGAGCTAATTAATTTGTTTGAGCACTTATTATGCCACGTATTTGGCACAGCGTGAAAAGTTGCATTTACATAAATAAATAATGTAATATGTAATAATATCGTACATGAATATATGTAGTAGTAGTACCAAAAGAGCTTACACATAAGGCGGGCCAAGAAAAAATAGTATTCACAACACAGAAACACACACACACACTTGTGCACAGCACTGACCGCACAGTGTTGTGCAAAGTAGGTGAAAAAAGTTTGTAAAAATAAACCAAAAAACTTATCAGCCACATCATTAATTCTGCCAACGGATGGCGGCGTCCTGCCAAGGGCCTATGTTCAGCGAATAAATGTCAATCTGTGAGGTTTTGAGGCCAGGACATAAAATGCAATAAATAACTGTACAACGCCTTTGACGTGCAATGAAGTAGTGAGAGGCGTAATCAGCAGGCAAGTGGAAAATTTCTAATTACATAGCAGTTGGTATTTTAAGCGCACCTCTCACTACCCATACGTGTGTTTAGTACTTAAAAGTATTGGTACTACACTAGGCATGTAAGCCTTATGTGTTAGAAAAAGCATAAAGTAAGGCATTCACCTACCAAATGCCTTAAAGTAGTATTTTATTCTTGACTTTTTGGCCGCGTTATAATTTAAGTATTTATCATTTTTCTTAATACTTCAAGAACTTTAGCACTTCATTATTATTATTATTTTCTTTTATTTTTTTTGACCAAATACAGATTACGATTTATACAAAATAATAAGGAAATTAATGAAGAGTGCGGCTCTGTAATGTAAATATTTCAGTTTTAATTCGTACACTTCGGTTTTAAAGTACCTGGAATAAAAACATGCACCAACACTACCATAATACGGTTTTATTAAAACCGTAACATAGAAAAGAGAGTCAGATTTTGTTGCTTTTGGCATGAATTCAGTTTCAGAGGGGGCCTCATAAAAATCAGGAAAGAGAAATGGCAAAATATCAACAGACCACCAAAATAATTGTCTTACAAGATATCTTAGCTACCTACTGGAATCCAATGTACCATATGAGAATGTGTATTGTATTAAACTCTATTACAAATATGGCGAAAAGGTAGAGCCAGTGGTGCTCACTGGATAAGTGAAGCGTCCTCTTTACAAGGGCATCGATTAAAAAAAGCCACCAAGGCTGCTGCATTCCGCTAGTAAGGACATCAGATGAAAATCCTCTCTTTCCTCGAGCCCGAAGCGCTGGAAGTTATTTCTATAATATCCGTGGCCACTGAGAAGTCGATGAAATTTTCTGTTATTTCTTCTTGTTTAATTTGAGTTTAAAAAGGATGATCCTTCAAACCAGCGATGTGAGCGACCATTGCTTCGCTAGTGATCGGGCTTATCCGCTTTATTAGATTTCAAGTCGATGGGAAACGTTCTGGAGAAAGCTGGAACTGTGTCTGATTTTTGGTTAAACTTCTACTATTCAGCATTATGTGGACGAGGGCCCCGCATGAGTTGGCTATTATTATCCGGAATGCAGACTTGACATCTACATCAGCTCGATACATTGAATGCGGAAATGTGTTACTTCGAATGCTTAACGACGACTGGTACCGCGTGCAGTTGAATCGTTGTCATTACGTCGGTCTGCTACTCATTTGTCAAAATGTGTAATCAAGATTCAGATTGTATTAATTATAATCAAACAATATGTGTATAATTATAGGACATAGCGCTTTGCCTTTAATGCCTGTCCAATTCAGTTTTATTTCGAGTTGAAATCATAAATGTTGGACATAGGCAATGAAAGCACGGATATTCTGGACGCCTTCAATGCCCATCTGCAAGTCTCGGCTAGAGTTGAAACTGTGTTTTATTACAATCCCGTGCAATTGCCATGTTGGAGTGTGGAGCTGCTCCAACGTCAGGCTCTGCATGCGGCCATTCTAGTATGGAATACGGTCAACTCGATTAACCTAAGATTTAGTCAGAGCAGAAACATGTTGGTACTGGCCTGTTTGCCAGAGGAACCCACAGAGGCCAAGTCGTTACTTGACCTCCTTGCTCGCCACCTATATCATATGCGACAAGTGAAAGTGTTAGTGGAGTTGAGCAGTCCAGACGGTACGTGTGGTGGCGGCAGTGAGGAGTATATAGGAAGTCTTTTGAAGCAATGTTTCCAACTAAGCATGCTGAATGTGGCACTTATGTGCGGCAACTTCATTAAAACCCTTCTTTACTATACGTATGAAGCATATCCCGTATTTGAAGTGCAAGTTCAAGGGTTTAAGCCATTTGAAGAGGGACCATTGATGTATCCAGACAAGCAAGTCAATATGCATCACCATCCCATCTACTCCATGCCTGATCAGGCCGAGCCGTACACCATAGTTTATGATGAAAATGGTAGGAGTCGTGTCATCGGACTTATCTGGTATATCCTGGAGGAGTTCGCTCAATATCATAATGCCACGCTGCGTTGGTTTGAGACCCCCATATCAGGCAAGCTACCCAATCAAGTACTATTGGGGGACCTCGTCGACAACGGATCCTTGGATATGTCTGCTTCGGCTACCTTCATGGGCTGGGGACGGTACTATGGGCTGACCTATCCGATGACTATCAGTAGCTGGTGCATTATGTTGCCCTTGGAGCGGCATGTTAGTGTTTGTGAAGCTCTGGTCAAGGCGTTCCAGCTGGAATCGTATATGATGCTGTTGGGACTCTATGCTCTGTACGTGGGGTTGCCAGTTATTGTGACTTATCTTTGCCCTAATCGGTCTTGGGCTCTTGATAATGTAGCTATCTCGTTTTATCGTCTCATTGCACTCTGCCTCGGAATCCAACTTGTGGCCTTCTATGAGGCTCGGGTGCAGTCGTTTCTTATCCATCCACTGCGTAAAAATCTTATAGCCACCTTAAGCGATTTGGAGAACTCTCAGGTGCGCATCTGGGGCGTTCGCTCCGAATTCTACTTGTATGAAGATGAGCTGCGCATCAAGTTTGCAAGAGTGTTCCGATTGACAGACCAAGGCCTTGAGCTGGTGAGGATGCGCAATACTCTGAACACCTCTTATGGCTACACTATAACGTCTAACAAGTGGCCCCTGTATGACGCCCTCCAGCGTGGTTTCCATCGGCCGATCTTTCGTTACCTGCGAAGTATTTGCGTACAGAGTCTCTGTCTATTCTCCATGCTGATACAGGAAAATTCGGTGTACTACCATAAGCTGAACCATTTCATATCAAAGCTTCGACAGGCCGGCTTTATTTCATATTGGATAGAAAACAGTTTCTACGATATGGTGCGTGGAGGCAAAATGCGAAGGCAGGACTTAAGTGAAGTGCATGTGGTGGTGCCCTTGACTCCAGAAGATATTGCTCCAGTTCTTGGCGTTTACGCAATGGGCTTACTTCTAAGTATGTGCACATTTCTTTTGGAAAATGCGGCGTACTACGCATGTGCATTTGTATATGGACATATCTAAGCGATATCTTGTAATTAAAGTACGTAGTCACCTAATAAAAATAACCAAGCTCTCTTATGATTAGACGGCGTTTCTGGAGGAATTGAGTTTTACTCCCAAACTGATTAATAGGTTTGTTGTCATGTGGAACTAACTAACTTCGTAACTAATGCAACCGGGTGTGTGTAGCATAGAGTTGAGCCAAAGCAGCAACAACAACTTATGTGTGTTACATAAATTCGCATTTAACTTGTATACCCTTTTAACCTTTGGGTTCAGGGTATAAAAGGGGTTTGTGCAAGGTATGTAACAAGCAGAAGGAAAAATCTCCGACCCCATTAATTGGAAAAGCGGGACTCATCCAGTCCCGCGCGGGACATTTAATTTTGATTTAAAATTCGGACGTCTGGCAACGCTGATATGTACATATGTTTTTATTTTTTGATGCAGGTGCTATCTATTCTCATATGCATGTACATACTTATACATACATATAAAATACTAAGTGTATGTATTCAATTGTATAGTTCAACACTTATCCATATGTGTTTTTATACCCTGTCCCCAAATGGTAAAAGGGTATACTAGTTTAGTGCGAATGTATGTAACACACAGAAGCAGACGTGGCAGACACCACAAAGTATATATATTATTGATCAGTATGACAAGGCAAGTCGATATATCCATGTCCGTATGTCCGTCCGTCCATCTGTAGGTATGAGCGCAAGAATCTCAGGAGGTACAAGAGCTAGAATAACCAAACTGGGTATCGAGGTTCCGCTAAGTCCTAGGCAGGTCAAATTTATTTTATTGCTGCTTTGGTTCAACTTTGTGCTGCATATATACACGCATATAAACCCACATAGACACGTGATGTAAATGTGTGCTGTAAAACTGTACACAAACATGTCTTCTATGTATGTATTTAATAAATTTTCTTTATTAATTTAATTAATTATTTCAATTTTTTTTAATAATTTAATTTATTTAATATATTTTTTTTAAATTTCCTTTTTTTGGAGATTACAGGCTATTTTAATGACGGGGTTGCTCGACTGTAGCGTTCTCTCTTGTTATACTCTGTACATGAAATGTACAGAAGTATATTAGGTTTGCGGGAGCTGAAAAATGTAACAGGCAGAAGGAGGCGTGGCAGACCCCACAAAGTATATATATTCTTGATCAGCATGACGAGACGAGTCGATCTAGCTCTGTCTGTCTGTCTGTCTGTCCGTCTGTCCGTCTGTCAATCTGTCAGTCTGTCCGTCCGTATGAACACCTGGATCTCAGAGACTATAAGAGATAGAGACACCAAATTTTGCACAAAGATGCGTTATGTGTGTATTCTATACGAGTTTGTTTTATTTTTTTTATTCCCCCCCCCCCCCCCCCCCTCCCCTAATTCTCCCCTATGGGGGTTTTCCCAATTTTCCATTCGTATAATCGCCTATATCTCGGAGACTATAAGACTATATATAAAAGCTAGGAACATCAAATTTTAGTCCCAGATGCCTTACGTGAATACGCAGAAAATGTATATTTTGGAATTTTCCTCCCTCCCCCCTCTCCCCCGCAAATGGGATTTTCTCTAACTCCCGTAATTCTTGGAATTTCGAACTAAAATTTTGCAAATACCCCCAGTTAGTAATTATATGTCCGTATGCCAAGTTTCATCATGATAGACCGATTTAACAAGAAGTTATAGCCATAAATATATTTGCTGCTGCAGCGCTGCTCAAGCGCTGCCCAAGCGCTTCCCGCGGCTGTTGTTGATGTTGCTGTTTGGTTGACTGCTAACATGTTTACACAGACACGAATTGATGCGCATAGTCATTCATACACTCACACAGACGCAATTGCTATGTAAATGTGCAATTATACACCATTTACGTGAGTTCGAATACCGAGAAAGGTAAAATCGATCAAAATTTTTTTTTTAATTTTCTTATTCTTTCTTTTTTATTTTCTATAATTATTGTAAACATATGTACAGAGTATTTCAAAGTCGGGACACCCGACATTAGCTTTTTTACTTGTTTTATATTAACATCATAGTATACTTGGTAAAATAAAACAATTCATTTCTCTTCACAAATATTTAAAGTACACAAACATTTATATATAATTGTCAGTATTTAGAAAAATTACATAATCATCAAATTGAAATGTGTTGCATAGTCCCATATTTCTGCTGTGCCAGCTGCAATGCCAGTCTACGTATTGGATGTATTTTCTATGCCGTTTGGTCAATTGTTTGGAAAATACTTCTAGCTTTGAGGTCATACATGGATGCCAGTAAGTACTTAGTTGGCTGCAAGCTTATAACCTTTTGAATAGCGCTCAATCTAAAATATATTTTATTTATTTAAGCCACTCCTTATGATAATCAAGCAGAGGGAGCTGGCATTTTTAAGACTTGGGAGTCGATTAGTTATGCATCGATATTCTTGAGCTTGATTCTTCTGGCAGGCCCTATTTGTTTGTTACTTGGCATGAAGATGGTGAATTCATGTATTTTGGTAGGAGCAGATAAACTAATCATTTATCTGTGATTTTCAGAACAATAAAGCACTGGTCGTTGTATCTATAGTAATCACATATCTGACGGTGGTACTGTACATTTTTAGTATACTTTTCCTACCTTTAATTGGTAAGTACATTTTATAGATATATAGTATAATACTATAATAATCTACATTGAAATATTTTTCAGCCTTCGAAATTTACATGATTATTGTGCAGTATTCATATTTAAAAACCGAAATGTAGAGCAGTTGAAACCATCTTGAGATCTAGTGATTACAAACTAAGGAATTGTAAAGAGCCGACCTATTTGTTAAAAGTCCACCAAACACAGACAGATCTAGGACACAAAATCTGGCAAAGGTAGAAAGCGTTAAAAACCAAAATGATGTTCGCAAAAAAATATGCTCAGAGTATTTTTTAGGGTAAATGTAGTTTTTCATTGACTAATCTATTATTGGAAGTACTGAGTAACCTGAGTAACTGAGTACTAACCAGCTATCTATTCCAGACCCTACTCCGTATGATGATCTCAAACTGCAACTATGCCAGACGTTACCTTTATCAATAACGCTTCCGCACTTATCCTTCCTACACATGTTAGACTTAGTGTCTACCATATCTGATCCTACGCCAACTACTCTCGTTACTAGACCCGCCGCATCGCTCAATACTACAGCTATTGGCCCTACAGATACGGATTTTATTTTTACTGTGGGATCCACTTCTGCTAGATTGGGAGCGTCCAATCAATGGTAAGTAGATGCATTTAAGGAGCATTTAATGCGAATCGTTTACATTATTCATACTAAAAATTTCTCAGGATTCCAAAATGTATATGCCCCATTTGAAGTAGACAATTCGCTTGGTATAAGTTCGAAACAAATAGCTGGCATGGCCGCCGATATGGACAGAAGAAGCAATGCCAAGTTTACAAGCCATTTAACCAGTATAGTCCGATCCGCTTTCAAAAAGAAATAGACATTACAATAGACATAACAAAAATATGCTTAAAGTAATTATAAAAATTTGAAAAAATTAAGAAAACTAAAAAAAGAAAACAATTTTTAATCGTTGAAGAGGGAGGGGGATGGAGGAAATTTCTGAAACACTCATTCACATAATGAATAATCTTGAACTAAAATTTGGTGCCCCTATTACATTGTTCACCTCCCGCAAACCTAATATAACATTTATCATTTCATGTGCAGAGTATAACAATTAAAATGGGAACACAAAAGGATCGTCTTCAAATCTAATACAATGATGGCATTTTTGTCATTTAAAGTGACACAATATTTCGAGAATGATTCTGAAGAAACAGCACCCTGTGCAGGAATAACATTTTGAACTATTTGGGCTAAATGAGGTATGTTTAAGGTAGTTTTTTTTATAGATGCCATTGTCACAATCGAACCAAATTCAAATGGGACAATACGGGAAGCATCAGCGTTCAAATACAAAAAGAATCATCAAAACCGGTTCACCCAGTCGAATATTCTGAGGTAACAAATAATTATTACAAAAAGGAAAAAAAAGTGATATATTTCTCAATTTTTATACCATACAGGCTATTTAAGAGTTTAGCCTGCTCGACTTTAGCATTTCTTTCTTGTTTTTTTAAGTCGGTTAAAAAGGGCTTACCTCACTGTCGTTAATTATTATTTCTCGATAATGAGTTGTTTTAATTTAGTAAGGGAACAAATATTTCCATCAGTGTGTAGTATGTTCATCTCTTTTTGTGACCTAAATCGATAACCAAAATGGGGGTTAGTCCATTTTATTTGCGTGCCACATATAATATACATTACGTCAGAGAGTTGCTCCTCATACAGAGAGCCTTATCATAATACAAATAGATATAACTATGTAATTAGTACACAATTAACGCAGGCAGCTACGACTTTAACATATGTCCAGTCAATCCAATCCTTCAGTAAAGGATTGAGGGAAGTGCGCAGATGTTGGATTTACGAAATTATACCACGGACGTTTCGGAGCCATTCAGTGACTATTTGAAATGGTCGGCAAGAGCACAAATCATTTTCTACTACAATCCTGGAAGCTTAAACTGTTGGAGTGTGGAGCTATTGAGGCGTCAAGCGCTGCATGTGGCTATTTTGATATGGAATACCACAAGATTCATCAATTTGAGATGGAGCCAGAGCAGAAATATGCTTGTACTGGCTTGCCTGCCAGCGGAACCGAAACGGGCACAGACATTATTAGAAATGCTGGCCCATTCCCTACAACACGTGAGGGAAGTCAAGGTGCTGATAGAACTGAGCCACACAGAGCTTACCTGTGGTGGTGATAACGACGTAAACATTGATGCACTCCTGCAGCACAGCTTCCAGCTAAGCATGCTCAATGTAGTGCTCATATGCAGCAGCTTCGTCAAAACCCTCCTCTACTATGGCTATGAGGGCTATCCCAAGTTCAAGCTGCAAGTCCGTCAGTTCCAGCCATATAAAGAAACAACATCTATATATCCTGACAAGTTGCTCAACATGCACCACCACCCCATCTACAGCATGCCAGATCAGGCAGAGCCATATACAATTGTCTATGAGCACCAAGGGAAAGTTCGCGTCATTGGCATGCTGTGGTATATTCTGGAGGAATTCGCCCATTATCACAATGCCACGCTGCGTTGGCTTGAAAGGCCTATACCAGGCAATCCTCCAAATCAGGTGCTGTTGGGCGATCTCATTAGGAATGGATCCTTAGATATTACTGCCTCAGCCAGTTTCTTGGACTGGGGCAGTTATTATTACATGACCTATCCGATGGCTGTTAGTAGTTGGTGCATTATGACTCCTCTGGAGCGTCACGTAAGCGCCCGCGACGCAATCATCAAAGCATTTAAGCTGGAGTCCTATATAATGTTGCTCGGCTTTTATGCCCTGTACGTAGGCTTGCCGCCTATCATGATGTGTATCCGACGCCAAAGATCATGGCCTCTCGACAATGTTGCCTCCTCATTCTATCGACTGATTGCGCTCTGCCTTGCAATCCAACTCTTGGCCTTTTACGAAGCTCGCGTGCAGACGTTCCTTATCCACCCATTGCGCCAAAATCATATTACAACCTTCAATGATCTAGAGAGCTCTCAAGTGCGCATCTGGAGCTATCGCTATGAGTTCTACAGATACGATTTTGAACTGCGCATCAAGTTCGGCACCGTGTTTAGACTGACAGACTTGGGCTCCGAGCTGGTGAAGATGCGGAATGCTCTGAACACCTCCTATGCCTACACCATCACCTCAAATAAATGGCCCATGTGTGACGGTCTCCAGAGGGGCTTCCGCAGGCCGCTCTTCCATTATTCCAACGACGTTTGCATACAGTCTCTGTGCTTGTTCGCGATGATGATAAGAAATAATTCTGTCTTCTATGACAGGTTCAATCATTTTTTGACGAAGCTACGTCAAGCCGGTTTCATATCGCATTGGATAAAGAATAGTTTCTTCGATATGGTGTAATAACATACGTACTTTTTATTATGAGTTTTTATTAATTATTTATTAACTTTTATGACACTCAATCTTAAAACTTGAACTTATACTGATTTCTTACATTTTTTTTAAAATGAACTTAGCTAAGGCCTCGTAGCTGCGCTGCCAGAGACGCCGGCAGCGGAGCGGCCGCATTATGTATTTTACTTATGTATTTGTACTCAGCGCTGTTGGCAGCGAGAGCGCGAGGGAGAATGTTATGTGCACTTGAGGTGGCTGACACTAGTTGCACTGACGCTGCACTTATGTCGCCCAATGCATGTGCGATCATATTACATCGCGTCCGAATTATGCTTGGCTTTTTGAATTAATTTATTCACTGCAATAAAGTGTTACAGTGTATGTTCTTAAGAGTGCACTGCGTACAGTGTGTACTCCTTATGTATGCACACTACATCTCCCTCCTTTTGAAAAATAACGTAATATTATGAAGTTATTTTCTAAATTATTTATCTATTAATTTCATGTATATCTAGTTATGAAATATGTTTATATCTTTATGATTCGTTTCTTATTAATCTATTTGTTTTGTTTGTTTAATAATGTTTTTAAAGGGAAAATTGATATATGTATGTATATACTTATTTGTATGTATAAATTTTGTTTTTTTTTTTTTTATCTTATTTTTATTTTATTTTATTATTTTTTTTTTTATATGTATATGTATATATATATATTTTTTTCTTTCTATTATTATTTTTTTTCGATGGAATCATAGAAAATTGATGTATATTTTTTTTTGTATTTATTGATATTTATATATATGTATTTATGCTTGTGTATGGCCATACTTCAAGTTACGAATTAAAAATCTTTAACCTATCCTTATGTACTGTTTGTTTTTTGTCTTTATTATTTGATATTATTATGTTATTATTTTCTTCTACTTTTTCTACCTTATATGGTCCTGTATATTTAAAATCTAGCTTGTGACCTGTTTCATTTTTCAATAGAACCTGGTCTCCTATTTTTAACTTCAGATCTAAACTATTCTTGTCATAACTAATTTTCTGTTTATGTTTATTTGACTCTAGCATTAATCTTGCTCTTTTCAAAGCTTGTTCTATCCTAAACTTAGATTCCTTAGCATAATCTTCTATATTGTAAAGTGGTTCTATTCTATCTATGCTATTGAAATACTCTGGTAAATTTGAGGTTCTACCAAAAACTAGCTCATATGGACAGTAATCATGTGCCATTGAGGGTGTAGTATTAAAAGAATATACGAAGTACTGTAACCACACATCCCAATCTGATTTGTCGACTGAGATGTATGACCTGATGAACTCATTAAATGTTCTGTGGCTTCGCTCCACGGTTCCTACAGTCTGGTGATGATGTGCAGTAGATGTTATGTTTTTAATATTTAGATTTTTACATAAATCTTCAATTATTGAATTCTTATACTCTGTTCCCATGTCCGTAATGAACGTCTTCATTGGACCGTACTTCAGAATAAAATGTTCAAATATAGCCTTGGCTACTGTCTTTGCACTTTTGTTCTCTATTGGTATGGCTACAAGGTATTTTGTTAAATCGCAGATTAAAGTTACTGCGTATTCATTTCCTTTTTCTGACCTAGGTAGTGGACCGATCGTATCCACAATTACCCTATCGAAAGCCTTTATTGGCGTATCTGTTATTATCAATGGGGCTCTGGTATGTTTAGTCGATTTCGACTTTTGACATTTTCGACATTTTTTTATATAATTTGTAATGTCTCTTGTTATATTTTTCCAGTAATAATGCCTTTTTATTTTTGCCATTGTTCTTGCTATACCCGTATGGCCTCCTTGTATTGGATCGTCATGGAATGTAAACAGTATTGCTTCTTTTTCTTTTTCTTTATTTATTTGGGTCACCGGCTTGAGTAGCGCTACTCTTAATGATTTCAATATTTTATTGCCCATTTCTTTAAAAGATTCTATTGAAGTTGTTTCAAAAATCTTTTCGCTCGGTGCCACTTTGAGTCGGCTGATATTAAGCACACCGGCTTGCCTTTCAAGCCTTTGGAAGAACTGACCTAAGTCGAGAATTCCATTGGAGTACATATCGCTAACATCAATTCTTGCTATGACTTTTTTTCCATGCTTTAGTAAACATGTTGAATCTGTCGTACGCAAGGTCACTACTTTTCGTACCTCGTCATTTATAATGACTTCGTATACGTTGGGCTTTGAAGCTTTATTTTTAGTTTGCTTATGCAAATCTACTTTGTCTTTCTCTGCGCAGAGATTTTTCTGTTTACTTTGATTTCTTGTAGTGACTTTTAGTATTTTGTTTCCTTTATGTATATCTTTTAAGTCTGTTATAGTTATTCTCGACAACGCATCTGCTATATGGTTGTCTTTTCCCTTGAGGTATTCAACTGTGAAATCATACTCCTCTAAGTCAAGTCTCATGCGCGTCAGTTTTGAGCTCGGGTTCGTCATTGAAAACAAGTAAGTTAAGGGCCTATGATCGGTTTTGACTGTGAAGTGTCTGCCATAAATATATGGTCGAAAATGGTTTATTGCCCAATGGATGGCTGCCAGTTCTTGCTCCGTTGTATTTTTGTTACTTTCCCCTTTTGTAAACGATCTTGATGCATACGCTACTGGCAGTTGTGTCCCATTATGATTTTGGGTCAGTACAGCTCCACAAGCTTGTTTACTCGCATCCGTCGTTATGCAAAATTCTTTGCTAAAATCTGGGTACTGCAACAACGTAGGCTTCATCAACTGGACTTTTAAATATTCGAATGCTTTTTGACATTCACCGGTCCACTCAAACTTAACATTCTTTCTACATAATCTTGTTATGTGCCGCGAATAATCGGCGAAATTTTTTATAAAACGTCTATAATAATTGCAGAATGCAACGAATCTTCTAGCGCTATCAGCGTCCGTTGGGACTGGGTACCTTTCTATGACATCATATTTCTTGCTGTCTGGCAAAATACCCTTATCAGTACACTTATGGCCCAAAAAGGTTACCTCGTGCCTGAAGAATGAGCACTTTTCGGGGTGCAATTTAAGGTTGTGTTTTCTACACAAATCAAAAACGCTTGTAAGATTCTTAATCATATGTTTTTCTGAACACCCGATGACAATCAGGTCATCCATATATAAGAATGCCTGAGTAGGTTCTATACCCGAAAATGCGATTGTCATCATTCTTTGAAATGAATTTGGTGCTATTTTTAAACCATATGGTAATCGCGTGAAGCGATAAGAGCCATTGCTCGTGGAAAAAGACGTTATGTTTCTGGAGCTTTCCTCAAGCTCTATCTGATGAAATCCTGACATCAGATCCAAACATGAGAAGTACTTAGCTCTACCCAATTGATCGAGAATATCATCAATTCTGGGCAACGGAAACTTGTCGGATAAGATTTTTTTATTGATCTGGCGATAGTCAATCACCAAACGCCATCTTTTACTATCAGAACCCGGCAATGACTTTTTTGGAACTATCAATAATGGGCTATTATATTCTGAGACTGACGGTTCTACTATTTTGTCTTTTATTAGCTTCTCGACTTGCTTGTCTACCTCTTCTTTTTGGCTATGTGGAATTCTATAGTTCTTAATATAAACTGGTTCATCATCTTTCATTCTTATCTTTTGTTTGTAGAAATTATTGGTTGATATCGATTCGGTTTCTATTCCGAATACGTCAATGTACTTGGTGCATATCTCCGTAAGAGCGTGTTCGAACTGTGGTGGGAAATTTTTACTTAGTTTGTCCAAGACCTCAATGTGACTGCTGTTCATATTTGTTTCTATTATTTCATAATCACTCAATGGTTCAAAATTTACTTCGTTTAACTGAATGATTGCATTTTTATCTGTGGTATTCAAAATTCGGACAAAAATATTTTTAGAGTCTGCAATGGAGTTCCCAATGTATACTCCGTTTTGAATTTCTTGATTTGGTATGAATATATACTTGCTTGTAGTATTTATGGAAATTTTTCGGACGACTTCGGATCTTGCTGGCAAAATTGTGTAACTATTTTGAAGTGTATGATGTATTGGGATTTTTATTGAGTGATCAATATTATTAGGTCTCAGTATGAGCCAATCACTCTCCTGATTTAAGTCTATTTGACAATTATATTTCTTCATAAAATCTATACCTATTATTCCATTACATGGAAGCGGAAAGTCTGAATCTACTATATGAAAGTCATGAGGGATGGCATAGCATGTTGATAGGAGTTCTATCATTGCCGATCCTTTGGAATTGGTTGTTCCCTCACCTATACCGGACAATTGAGTAATATTATTATAATTGACGTTATCAAACGAGTCCGTATCTTCCTTTATTAAAGACACATCTGCACCTGTATCAACCAGCAATGTGTACAACTTATGTGTTGCTTCATTTTTTAGTGTAACATAAAGATTGAAATTAAGGTTTATTGCGTGAACCGTTTGTTCCACAGTTTTCTTTATCCCAAGGGTTTTTACTGGTTTTCCGACGTGGTTTGCACCAGTCGGACTTGGTTATAATTGCTGTTATTTCGTTGGTAGCCATTCTGGTAGTTTCTACCACCACGATGGTTATCTCCACCGCGATAGTTATTTCCACCGCGATAGTTATTTCCACCGCGATAGTTATTATTACCTCTGGCTCTATGATTATTACTGAAGCGTCTGTCTATTTGCTGGTTTTTATAATACAAAATTGTATCTGTTCGTCCAGTTGCATCGGTACAACTATTGACAAACTTGGAGACAGCCTCATTCATATTGTTGAATTGGCCGGCCTCCATTACCAGCTTTACCCTGTCAATGTTACAATTCTTCGTCATTGATTTTACAGCATGTTGCGTACTGTATTTAGCGGCTATCTCCAATGAAAGTCCATCGTTTATGTATGCACTCTCTAGAGACTTTGTCAGTTTTTCTACCTCTTGGGTATACTGATTAGCCGTCTTGCTCTTCTGTTGAAGGTTCATCAGTTTGGCTGTAATAACCTCA